CAGGACTGAGCGGTGACAAAGGATTTGGGGCAAGAGAGCTGAGTCAAAACCACACTGGGAACCAATTAATAGGCAGCAGGCGGCCGACTTCCCCTTCCTCAGCTTTACACTGTGTGTGTGCGTGCACACGCGCGTGTGTAACCCAAGGGTACGCAGACTAGTCAAACTCACACCCTACTAAGTACATTCAGCACACAGAAGTATGCATACATACACGTGGATGCACAGATCTATAAACACAAGCATGCTCGCAAATCATGATCATGACTGCTGTGATCACAGATTATATACATTATAAAACAGATGCAAAAATGGCAGTTTTCAGAGGAAGCGCCAAACTATATATAGAAGTCCTATTACCATTCCCACACACCCCACCCCCGGACGCCCAGGCTCCCTTACCCGCCTCAACTCGCTTCTTTCCCATTGCACGTGTCACCTCCCAGCAGATTCTACAGTGTGTTATTTATAACGCCTGCATTCCGAGGGCCGGGGAGCCGGGCTGCGAGCGAGGGGAAGACTGTGCTGTAGCTCGCCAACTGGGGGTCCTCCTCTTGACCCGTGCGCCGCCCCAGAAGCCAATCTCAAAATAAACAGGTTCCTGCCGAGCCAGGAAGGCAATGCAAAGGCATTAAGAGAATATGCTGGGGGCTGTTTATGGAATAATCTGGAGACATTAACCCAGAAGTGGATTCTGTCCAAAGCTCTATATGGGTAATTGCATTGATCCCACAAAACAAGCTTTACAGCTTGCAAGTATGTGCATTTAATGAGAGACAGAAAAAGAGAGAGGAAGAGGGAGGGCAATGTGCTAGCCAGACTCGAGCGCAAGCAGCCGCGTTCAGGGCTCCTAGTCCTCTCCTCCGCCAGAGTGCGTGAGTTCTATTAATAGTCCCGTTTCAGAGAGGAGGACACTGAGGCAGGGTCTCCCGGCTAGGCGGCCTGGATTCAAAGCAGACCCCGCCTGTGGGCTGAGGTGAGGGAGGCCCTAGGTCAGAATCTGGCTGCTGGGCTTTGGGGTTGGCGAGGATCCAGGCTCCACGCAGGCCGGCGGCAGTGGCGGAGGAGGAGGAGAAGGAGGAGGCTGATTTAGATCCCATCTGGACCGGCAGCCACAAGGGCCAGGCCCCGCGCTGGGGAGAGATAAGTGTGCCTCGGGTGCCCCACCCTGCCTTCCTGCACTGGGGTACACGGGAGGAAGCGGGGAGCCTCTCAGCCCTCTCTCCCACCCCTGCTGCTGCGGCCTCACAAGGACCCCGGAAATCAGCAGTGACCTGTGCTCCCTGCGGCTCTGACTTAACCCCTCCCTGGCTGCCAGGTTCAAGCGTCTGGAGAGCGGGGATGGGGGCTCCTGAAAGATAACATGAACTTCAGGGACAAGGATCCCTGCTCAGAAATACGGGAACCCTCTCAGACATCCCCTGGCCATCTCCTGTTTATTTCTGAAAGAGATGGCCACCCCCAACCTTAGTCTCTTCTCCAGGCTGCACCGTCTTTCTCAAACCCTCAAACTTTCAACCCCACATTCCTCTTCTGTCTACAACCTTCCATGGCTCACTAGTGCCTGAGAGGTAAGTCCACCCCTACTGGCTGAAGATCTGACCTCTTTGTCTCCTTGTTCTATAACCTCCCATCCCACTCCTCTTAGACTTACCTGCGCAGCCCACCCTTACTCTGGTCTTCAGTTGTAGGAAGATGCACTCTGGTGCTCAGAAGCTCTTGGGCCTTGTTGGCTCCGTGTGCTGATTCCTCCACCTGCAGTGCTGGCCCCACTCACCTTCCTCCGACCAAGTCCAACCTGCCCTCCAGGAAGCCCACCCGGACTGCACTCCCCTTGTTGGCCCAGGGCCTCCTTGAAGCTTCCCTGGTGAGGACAGTTATCACCCTCAGTTTATAGATGAGGAAAGTAAACACCAGAGAGGTTAAGTGACTCGCTCAAGGTCACACGGCCGGTGAAAGGCAGATCCAGGCAGGTGGGTCCCAGAGCCTCGCTGTGACCCCTCTGCAAGACCGGGGCAAGGACACGCTCTTGCTGGTGAGTGAACGCGAGGCTGGGGTAGAACTGCTGGGAGCAGGCTCAGCCCGAGGCAGTGGGCAGCAGTCTAACTGTGCTGGCCCGGAAGTTGAAGGACCACCAGACGTGAATATAAGCACTGGTCAGTGGCCGCTGCCCCGGAGGATGCTCCGCTCATGGCCTGCTTCCACCCGTGTCCTATCGGGAAAAGAGGACTCCACCGGCAGTGGAAACACCCCAGGCACGACAGATGAAAGCGGGGCCTCCGGTTCAAACTGCGGCTTTGCCGCTATCTGGCTGCGTGACCTTCAGCAAGATGCTTAGCCTCTCTGGGCTCCAGAGTCCTCAGCCATCCATGGGGATGACGATGGTGTTCTAACAGGATGGGAAGCAGGACAAGCGATGACACCATTACGCTCACCCGGAGGGAGCCCCTGGCAGTGCTGCGATGATGGCCAAAGGGGGCCATCTCCTGGGAGGGCCGGAATGCCGCTCTGGGCCCCAGCCCGCCCCGCAGTCCCTGGGAGCCTCCGCCTCCAGGCCAGGGCTGCTCCTCTCTGTGAGAAGGAAGGGTCACTCTTGCAGGCTCCGCCCACCTTCCTGCAGACACCTGGTCCCCTGGCAGCAAGATGTCTCCATGGAGATGACCCAGGTTTGCCCAGCAGGGCAGGAGCCCCGGAGCAGCCGGACTCACAAGATGCCCTGTAAGCCAAGGGCCTGGGGCCTCTGCCCAGCTGGGGCGGGTGGCTCTGCCGACACCAGGGAGGACACGGCCCCCACTAAGGGGCAGGTAGGCAGGGGAGGCTGCACCCCCTTGGAGGTGGGCGTCCTCCCCGCAGTCTGCAGGGGCTGCTGGAGAGCCGGGGACACAGGGACAGGTGTGAGGGCCTGAGAGACAGCCCTTCTCTGCCCTGCTCTTCTGCTGGGCTTCTCTGTCCTGACCTCAGTATCCGGGTGCTGCTGCTGATAGTCTCCTCTCCTGGGACACTGATTGTCTCCCCCCCCGCAGGTGTCCTAGGCAGGGGGACAGCAGCCAGGTTTGGCCAAAATCGATGTCTGCTCCACCTGCCTCGCTGCCTGACTCCCCCACACACACCCACAGTCTTTTGTTAGCAATCTGTCTCACTGGTTACATCCTTTTTTGTTTTCCAGTACCAGGATCAAACTTAGGACCTTGCGCTTGCTAGGCAGGCACAGCACCGCTGAGCTACATCCCCAGCCCTGGTTACACCCTTCTCATCCTGGTTGAGCACTCTGATGAGAGCAGACCTTCTTATACTTAGGGGATCCTTTCTTTTGCTTCAAGCCTCTGCTCTGTCCCTCTCTGTGATGCACAGTGTCGTGGGGCCCCTGATGCCCTCTTTGCTGAGACCTGTGGGCAGGAGGAGAGATGAGGACAGTGTCTCTAGGAACATTCGTGGGGCTCTGAGCACCCTGTGAGCCCAACCTGCTGACTCTGCCTCCCCTCTAACAGGCTCTGCTCCCTCGAGAGTGGGTGTCCCAGGGCACTCGCTGAGCAGGCTTGCTTTTCTCCTGTCCCTCCTTTCCTGCGTGAAGGACACACGCCTGCCCTTCCCAGATGTCCCCACCCCACTGAGAGGGAAGACATCGCCAGGACCAGACAGAAACCGGCAAGGAGGAGGGCGCACCTGGGGGCAGGGACCACAGGGTGAGCGCAGGGAGGGGCTGTGCACTGTGCAGCTGTGGAGGGAAGTGACGGAGGGACCCACGGGGGCTAAGGCAGCACCGAGGGGTCCAGAGGGTGGGGGACAACGGAGCACAGGAGCGGCCACTTGAAGCCACTGTAGGAACACCTGCTACGTGTGCCCTAGGCGGTGGCTGGCCCCGGCTGTGATTGTCAGAGGAGCTCCAAGGAAGATCTGGAGTTCACCTCCAGCTCTTGAGGAAGCAGCTCTGCCATGGGAGGTGAGGTGTCTGTGCCCAGATGCAGCCGGAGTCCTTCCTGATGCAAAAGAGCCGCTCTGAGCTCAAGGAAGAAAAGCCCGAGCGGGGACGTCAGGCCAAGTGTCCATAATTGCCTGTAATTTGGATTCAGCCTCTTGAGACAAAAAGTTTTTGTCAAAGGCTTTCACGGTCTGGTGCCCCCTTAACCAAGGTCGCAGAGATGGAGTCCTCTCTGACACGTATTTATTATCAGGAGGAAATGGCCCTCGGGCTTCCTGTGAGCCGGGGGCGGACATGGTCTGCGGCCACTGCTGAGCTCCTCTGCCCACAGCCATGGCAGAACTGCCTCCTGGGAGCAGCAGGCCCAGGAGCGGGTGGTGGGAGTAACGGCAGCAGCCTGGGGAAGACAGGGCAGAGGCTGTCCCTGCTGCCCACCCAGTAGCCGAGCTGCCTGCCTGCCTGCAGGCCAGGGTCAAAATAGGGCCTCAGTTTCCCTACTGTAAAAGATGGGTATAATAAGTGTCTATGAAATGCTGGATGCTCTGGTCAGTGCCCAGGGAACGCCCGATAACTGGAAGCCACGCTGCTTTCACTAATTAACAACTTCCTCCGCTGTGTGTAGACCCCTACGGGTGAAGCACAGCACAGCAGTCACGGCTCAGGCTCTGGGGACAACCAGCACTCAGTTCCCACGCAACTGGAGTGGCCTGGGCTCTGGGGTCAGGGCTCAGGCAGATTCGGATTCTAATCCTGCCTGTGAAATGCAAAGCAAGTCTTCCTAAGTGAGACTCAGTCCCCCATCTTGAGTTCTTATTCTACCCAATAGTTTATTGGATCCCCACTGGGCATGAGGAGCCGTCCTGGATACTGGAGGTCCAGCAGGGGATCAGATGAGAAAAGTCTCTGCTCATTTAGTGTACAAGACAAACGACAGACAGATCAGTGAAGAAACACCGACAATCATGTGAGAAATGTGGAGGAAAACGAAAGCAGGGAAAAGGTGTTTCTTACACTATGGGGTCAAGGACATAGCTTTGTAGAAGCGACGCTTGAGCAAAACGGGGATAATTACGGTACTAACCTCAGGGTCCCAGCAGACTTCACCCAGGTGGCTAGGTACGGCTCTTACCACGTTGCCTGGGTACCGCTGACTTTAGGTTGGAATGTGGACAAGGCGTGGACGGGTGGGTGGATGGGTACAGAAATAGACTGGTGTATGGAGAGGTACATGGAAGGTGGGCAGACAGGTCCGTGCGTGGGTGGCGGACAGATGCATGCATAGAGGGTCCATCAGAGGCTCGGTGCAGAGGAGATGGGTAGTTTGGAGAGCCAACCAGAGATGCTGAGTCATGTAGGGATGAGCAGCGGAGTAGCACTGCGTCAGCCCTGCCAGCCTTGAGCAGGGAAAGGAGGAAGAAGTGTTCCAGAGCCTGCACTGGGGCTCGTCAGGAGCTGTGAGTACAGGCAGAGAAGTCCAGCCACAGCCAGAGCCACCAGGAGGGAGGAAGGGGACAATGGATGCTGCAGCCTCCCTCCTCTCCTCTCTCGTTGCCTCCCGGCGCTGCGCATCGACTCTGCTCAGCCAGAAGCGGGAAGGCAAAAGGGTGCCTGAGCCTGCAGCCCACTGGAGAAGGGGCCGGAGGGCAAAGGGAGACCTCAGCAAACAGGCAGGTGCACAGAGGAGCGAGCGAGCCTCAGCAGAGGAACCTCGGTGACGAGGGATGCCCCGCCCCAGTGTGCCAGCCTTCTTGTAAACGTCATGCTTAGTAACCAAGCCAGGAGGTCATGGCAGTCTCAGAAGGCCTCCAATCTTCATAACCAACCATAACTGACATCAAATTCCTCACCGTGTCCTAACTGACGCAAGTGGATCTCTAACAGGGGACACTAGGACCCATGTCCCTTCCTTGCTGGGACTCTACCTTCTCGGGCTCTGCCTCTTAAAGGTCCCACCACCTCCCAACAGCATGGGAGGGGACCAGGCTTTGAACATGGGGCCTGGGAGGGCCAGTCTGGATGCAACCACAGCAGCCTGCCTGGAGGGGCAGAGGCAGGCAGCGGCCCCAGGGCCTTGACCATGAGCACCGCTGAACAGGAGAGAGGACTTCACTCGGGGCTGGTGGCCTGGAGCCCCCATCCAGTCCCTGCCACCCAGCCTCTGCTGCTTGGCCATGTGTCAGTCAACTTGGGACCTGTGGTGTCCGGGGCTGGGGTCTGTAGTTTGGTGTCACCTGCACACAATGGGCAGGAGAAGACCTTTGAAATGCTGCTAAGGTCCCAGGACAAGGAGCCCTGGATCACAGGACTGGGGATCCTGAAGGCCCTGTGGGGACCCCAGGGACCCTAGCCCCTTCGTACCCCAGACATTTCCTGGAGTCTGTGTTAAAGCGGCACCCACCCCTCCCACTTGCATGGTGTGTGCAATTACGGTTGGTTATACACTCAGGAACTGCACCCATCTTGTTCACCTTGGCAACCAGCACAGAGTGGCCGTTTCATTCATGATTATTGAATGAGCATCTGCTCAAAAGGATTCACCCTCCTTGTAGGAATAATAATCTTCTCTGAGGGCCTCTGTGCTACAGGTCCTATACTAGATTCCTCACCAATACTAACGCAATATAATTCTCACAAGGAGCCTGTGAGGTCAGTTTCACTGCTGTCTCCATTTTACTGCTGAAGACACTGAGGCCCAGAGAAGTTACAAAACACATCTAGGACCGCAGCCCAGGGAAGGGGGGGTCTCGCCCAGGCACACAGACCCCAGAGTTCCTGCCTACCCTCTGCCTCCTGGTTCCACTAGGCCATGACCTTGTGCCCACCACTAAGGGTGCATTTACCCTGGGGAGGGGACGCCCTTTCTGGCATCCCCAGGACAAGATCCTCCTGGTAGAGACAGGGTTTCCATGAGCAGCAGTGAGCGGAGTTGGCCTTTCCCAGGCAGCCGCACGGTCGTACTCTTTTCGATAAAGGCCATTTAAGAAATGACTCACTAGATACGATGTCAGTTTTATGCCTATGTAAGATGTTGCACATAAAGAAATTCACAAATCAGAGCGGTAGCCCTCATCCTTATTTTTGTATCACACACTGTGGTCTCATAAGCCGATCGCTTTCCCTCCTGGCTGCTGTCAGTGTCCACTGCCCGAGGGCTCCTTCTGGGCCTAGAAAGCCAGCGGTTCTGTGATTCTCCTGCCTCCTCATCTCCAATCCTCATGAGTGACCTTTGTGAAGTCACTCAAGAGGCCTTCAAATGCCTACTCTGTGCCAGGGGCTGTGTCGCATGACCATAAATGCCCTGATCGTCCTCCACCGTAGAGACTCCAAGTCTGGTCTGCTGTAACTGGTGAGGGGCCGAGCTGGATTCAACCCAGTTCTGTGGCTCCAAAATCTAGGCTTTTTATTCATGTTCCTAAATCTTTTCACCTGAGGTCCAAGCAGGCTGATTTACTTTCTTTTATCAGGCAGCTTCGAGTCCTGAAATAATGTGAAACAAACAGGCCTCCTATACTCCAGACTGCAATTCTGGGCAAAAAAGGAGATGGTATTTCCCAGCCTCCATGGTTGGAGGGTGTCATGTGACTCGTTCTGGCCAATAAGAGGAAGTAAGGGACTACTTCCTGGTTGAAAGTCCCCCCCAGGCCCCTTCCTCTCAGGTCTTTTCTACTAGCCATAAGGTGAATGGACTTCCTCTACTATGTGCCCCGCCATGACGTATTATGCACCAAAAGCCCCAAAGAGCAAGGCCCATCAGTCCTGGACTGCACTCTCCCCAGCCGTGAGTTACATAAATCTTTTCTCTTGTTGAGCTGATTTCTCTCAGGTGCTGGTTATAATCATGGGAAGCTAAGAGCTGAGGTGCCTCAGTGGGGCCACAAGCCCCATCCGGGGCAGGATGCTCCAGGTGTGTAGATGTCCCTTGGGCAGGGCAGAGGCACAGCGGAGACAGCCCTGACTGGGACTCAGAGACCCAGGTCCTTCCTTGCTGTGTAGACCTGAAAAGTAGCTTCTCTGGGTCCTCGGTTTCCTTCCCTATTTATTCCATGAAAGTAAGCGCTGTGGGGAGTGTTGGACAGAAGCCGTACTAGTAGAGCAGAGCTTTGTTGAAATCAACAGAGCACGTCACCAAGGGGCACGGCCCGGCTCAGGAGTGTCCCCTGGCCAGGTCCCAAACCTAGTGTCCCTAGTTCTCCAACTTGTGGCACTGGATGTGTCGTCAGGCCTAGCCTCTCTGGGCCTCAGTTTCCCCATTTTTAAAACAGGATAATCCAGCAAGTTCCTGCATCTTTGGTGTTCTAGGAGCTAGATAGAAGAAATACGGGATGAAAAGCACGTGGCACCAGGCTGGCGGAGGGAAGGGCGATCAGGGTCAGGAGCAACTGATCAGCAGTTCACAAATGCTCCCGAGCACCTGCGGAGCATGTCACCGTTCTTGGCACTGTGATGGAGCAGGCAATAAGGGAGTCCCGGGCAAGTGGAACAGGCAGCCAGGTGGGAGTAGATGGGGACGCAGCAGGGTAACGAGAGAGGTGCTCTGAGGGGCACAGAGTCAGCAAAGGACGCAGGGAGTGTTGGGAGGCTGGATCTTAGGAGAGGCCTGGGGAGGAGGAGGTGCTGCCAGCCGGTCTTGAGTACTTACTTGGCTGCGCTGAGACTCCTGGAGAGGTACCTGGGCATGAGGCGTTAACTCCTCAGGCGGTTTATCCTCCACAAGGTCATAGATGAACAGGCTGTTAGGAGGGGGGCAAATAACAGGACAAAGTGAGTCAGGGTGTGAGCCTGAGACTATATCTAGCCCTGGCCCCTTCCTCTTGGGGTCCATCCCCCTCCTGGCTGCCATGAAGCGAGCAGCAGCCCTCACAGACATGCCTGTCCACCACGATGTGCCTTGGAGCCAGCTCCTCGGGGCCGAAGACTCCGACTCCAGGAGTCAGATGGGCTTCTCCCTCTTTGAACTGTGTCAAGTGTTTTATTCTGACAGCAGAAAGTTGACTTATGCAGCGGGCTTTGTGGAGAGTTGTGGGCAGTGAGGGAGCAAAGGGACGGACTCGTCACTGGTAACAGTGGTACAGTGAGGAGTACAGCAGCTGGTGCAAGGGCCTTGGGGTGCAGGGGGTCCTTGGGTGGGAAGCAGGGCACAAGATCAGGGAAACAGCAGTCAGATATGCAGGGCCTTTGGGCATTGCTAAGGCTTTGAGGTTTGCTCTGAACAAGATGGGAGCTGTGGAGGATTCTGAGCACAGAAATTATGAGATACGACATGTTCCCAAAAGTGCACACTGGCTAATGTACCAAGTACAGGCTGAGGAGGTGAGAGAGGACACAGGGGCCCCGTGGGGAGGCGGCAGTCAACTAGAGGGTATGGAAGGAGGGGGTAGGCATTATCGCTACCTCAGTGACCGGGCCATTGCACACGGCAGCATTGTCTGACGCACAGTAGGTGCTTTATCCCAGTAGTTGGTGACCGACCCAAGAGTCCATCCTGGAGAGAATCCCCCACCTTCCTTCCTCCCCGTAGACCATCACCAGCCCTTCATCGGTAGCTGGTTCGCGTTGGGCCTATCCCACTGTGTCTACTTCTGTCCCAGAGGAGACTCCCGACACTCTCATAACCACAGCATTGTCACAGGTTGATAGAGCCGGACATAGAGCCCCACGCCCGACGCTCCCATTTTGTACATCACCAGTTACTGGCAACGGCACACCTCGCCCAGTGGCCCACCTCACGGTTGGTCGGTCATTCAGCCACCACTGCACCTGGCCTCTCTGCTCTACAGCCAAGGACTGGTGATTTGTAACCAAAATGACTGGGGGCCTACACTGTAACCCCTGGTTTGCTCACTGTGCCAGGCTGTTTAGAAGCCTAGACTTGTCTTAGTTCCGAGGAAGGAAGCACCACAGAGGCCAAGAGGGATGCAGGGACCTCGGGGAGGGGCTGGGGCCAGGCAGTGGGTGGAGCCTCTTCCTGCCCAGCACTTTTTATTTCCTCCCTGGGCCAGCACTGTTACAGCACTTGCTTCTCCAGGTGGCTGGGGCTACTCCGAGCACCCTTGCCAAATGGCATCTTCCCACTGTTGATCTTTGCCTGGTTACCAGGCAAACAAACACAGCCTCCCAGTGTAGTTCTCCTTTGCATTTCTCTCATGACAGGTGTGGTTTCCACCTGCTTCAGGAACATTTTCATCGCAGTTTGCACTACTGCTTACAGACCTTTTTGGTGATAGAGATTTTAAATGTTTTCCTAAGTTTGTCTCTCGCTTATTGGCATAGATTTTGCTGAGCAGATCTTCTTATCTAGTTGAAGGCATCAATATTTTCTTCTACGATTTCTGGATTATATATTTCTTCATTT